GCAGGAATGTGTGAGAAAACCGGTATCCATTTCTTCAGAAACGTTTCAGAACAGGATGTACACAAGGCTGGTCCTTCATGTTTGAATTTTGAGAGAGAGAAGTGGGCTACCAAATATAACTTGCGTTACTCCCTGTTCCATTGATCTCAATGACTTTGCAGTTTTTGCTTGTGTTAGAATACTTCTGGAGCTTTAGCTGTAGTTTCGAAAGTGGTTGAAATACATATCTCTGCCTAATGGATGCTGGTGCTAGTAAACTTGAAGATCATGTTAATCATTTTGTTTCTTAGAACTCTGGGTTCTGATGAAAGCTGGTCAGAAGCTTTTGATCAGAGGAGATGACTTAATTTGATAAGGCATTTTGTAGGGACGTATGCTTTTCACGCAGTTCTTGCACAAGGTATGGAATTTCCAGTCAAAACAAAGGAGCAACATTCACAGTAGCAAATTCTCCAGCAATTAGAGCAGCTACGTGGAACTGATCTTTCACAGAACCCCCCCAATAGTATGTGAATAAATGTTGAAATAGTTTGGTTTCCTCTTGAACAAAGTACATATTTTTGAGCTTCCCATCTGGCTTACAAGACGTTTGCTGAATAATTTGTGTCAATGTGGCTTTCATGTATTGATCTAAAAATACAAGTGCTAACAAAATTTGTACTGTCAAGCCCTCTCTAGCTGCTTGCTCTTACTATTCAGTGAATGGAATTCAGAGCAGCAATCGTTTGGCATTCGAGAATGGCTTCAGCACTATCACTTGGGAAATAATGATTTTCAAATGAGCTTGCACTCAGCAAAGCAAACTGATAGAACTGCAGATCTGGAGAAGTTCCATAAACAGTGGATAGTTTTAACTACCCAGTTGGATCTTACACATTCTGTAGATTTGAAATAAGTTAGGTGTTTACTACAGGGGAGAAAAAATTACGCTGCTGCTCTTCAGTGTTGTATCATGCAATGTTGAAATATATGTGCTTTCACAGTGCAGTCACTTCTGTTTGGAAAAATAGTTTTAAAAGTAGCCTGTTAATTTGCAAACATTTGTTTGGGATTAGTATTTGATTACTGCAAGGTAAGTTAAAAAGGTATAATAATTTTTAGAGCACCTCATCTGTGAGAATTTGCTGTCTTCCTTCTCTTCTGGCTTTAAAAGGCATGTGGTTGTTGATAGACACAGATTGTGTGTATGATAAAGATGGCAAAGCCATAACATATTCTGCTCACTGAAGGAGGCAGATTGGTTTGACTTGTCTTCAGTTGCAATAAATGGGATCTTTGGATATCATTTTTATACCACAAACCCCTGCAATTAGTGCATATGAATTTGGGCACATAATGTTAATAGCACTAGTACTTGAAAGTAATCCTAATTCTTGAACTGCTTCTCAGTGATTGAATTGAGAGACTGAAGTAGCCTCATGGGTCGTAAAATGTGAATTTTTAAACCTTACACCATTTTTTGTTAGCAGTAATTGCAGTATATGCAAGCTTCATTTTAAATTTGAGGGGGTGGTAGCTTTTTGCAATATCTAATAATATGTTTGTGTAAACTGCTTTGCTTATTTTCACATATGTTCTGTCTCACGTTGAAACCAAACCAGATTTTGTTAATGTCACAGTAGCAGGTGTCATTTGCAAAATGTAAGGGTTCTAAGTGACCACTGTGATAAAAGAATATTCCGTGTAAATGAAACACATAACCCTTCCCTCTTCAAGTTACGTTAACGTGTTACCTCTTTACCCAAAAAGAAAGATACGGAAATTCCTAATATTCAATTTATAAACAAAAAAAGCACACACAATCTCTTCCTTGCGCTCTCTGCCCCCTGAACACAGTCATTTTCTGCACAAGTAAGTTCTGGAATGTTTGTGATTTTTCAATGGAGAGAAGTACATTTCTTGTATAGCTTTCAGAGGCAAAGTTTATATAGTATTTAACTGTAAACTTCCAGCTATAAATTAGTAACAAACTTTCAGCAACTTATTTTTGGAAGAGAAATACTTGTACTTGATAAAACAAATACCATGAGACTCTTAAACTTTGTAGAGGAAATTTCCATCCTGAGACTTGAACCTCAAGGTTTAAAATGTTTGACTTTGCCTCTGTAGCTTTTCTCAGGAACCATCAGCAATACTGTGTGTACAACTACTCAAAATGCCAGCTTGTTACTTCTGCCCCAAGGATGGAGGAAGAAGAAAAGATGCTTTCTTTGAGAATTTCCCCCTCTGTCCCAGAAGATATGTAAATTATCCTGTTTACTATAAATTACTATTATTATCTTGCCACAGTTGTGTACGGAATATTGCACAGTGATCAGCATTTCCAAAATTCTCAGACAAAAATCTAGGCAGACTGACAAAGTCTGTTTCCCTTATCTTCTTTTACAATTTTGTTTTAAAGTGAGGTTCCTGATCTCAGCTGCTGGTTTGGTCAGAACGGACATACAGCTTGAAAATATTTTAATGTTTGTATTTCTCAAATCTAGTAACTATATCATTATCACATGACTCTGCATCAGAGCAATGTTAACATAATGTGTTTTGGGGTTTTTCTTGCAGTGATGCTACAGCCTTTTGACTATGACCCTAATGAGAAAAGTAAACACAAGTTTATGGTTCAGTCTATGTTTGCTCCAGCTGATACTTCAGATATGGAAGCAGTAGTAAGTATTGAAATTAACTAAAATGGATTTCTTTGATTGTATAATTTTATAAGACCTTTTACTGTGTTGCTTAAGGGCTGTTGTCAAACCACACTGGAATGATCCTTGAAAGCTTTGCCAGATTTCCATCTCTGTACATGGCAAGGTGTTTTCTGTTTATTTTGAGCCCCAGGAAAGACAGTTGGTATCTGTGGTTGCTTCTTTAGGATGCTGCTGTCAGTAAATGGAATACCAAGCCATGAAACAAGTGTTAAGTAGTTTTAATTTTTTTTTTCAATATATAATTTTTTAGAAGGGCCAACTTGAAATATATATGCTAAGAATATATTCTGAGTCTGTGGCATCTTTTATATCTTATGCCTCTGTTCTGTCTTGAGTCTTTCCTTGAGCAGCTCCTTTTCCCAGCAAGAGTGAGGAAGATGATTTACAAGTATTGTATTTTTCTTTATCCCTACCTGTGTCTATTGTGGCTTAGGTAAATGAAAGGCCCTCAGAGATTTTGTCCTGTGGATTACAAATGAAAGTAACAGAAGCATGTATGTGCTGAAGCGAAGGACAAAAGTCGTAGAAATAAGATGTCAGGGTACATTAAGACAACTTGGAAAGGAACAAACTGGTATGTCAACTGGTGGCTTTCCTGTAACAGTAAGGTTTGCTACTGCAAGAAGGCACAAAGAAGCTTTCTCCAGTCTAGCTTTTGTTAGCTTGAGAGAATACTCAGTAGCTATTGAGGGCACAATAAAAAAGGAAAAAAAGGCCATTACTCCGAAATGTGGGGCTTGTGTGTGTTAGTATGTATGTGTGTAACTTAAACAAAAAAGCCAACTGCAAAAAAACTCAAGAGTACATATCATGGCTTTTTTACAATAGTCTTTACAATATGCATCTTCTTCTGAGTAGCTTTTCAAAGCTGCAGTGCTATACAGGGTTAAGAATTTCCATTCTGAAAGAGATTTGTGGAACTGTATTTGTTTAATGGCCTCAAAATAAGATCCAGTGGGAGAAACAGCAGTAGTAATAAAATGTCTGCATGACTAGAAAGATAAGCCAGTCTGCCTTTCTTTCTAACTCTTTTAATTTTTGTGAGTTATTTTATACAATGAAAAATGTTATTCTGCTGGCAAAGAATGTTTTTTAGGACCTAGATGGCCCTTTCAGTTTTCCAGAGCTCTCCAGACCAATATTTCTTTTCCTATAACACTTGATCAGTTCTCAGTTTTGTTACCACTCCCAAAATCTCTTCCAATTCTGGATAAACAGGTGAGACAAATTACTGGAGTACTACAAAGCTTTCGACACTTCACAGGCAGCCAGCGAGCTCAAAATAGAATTCTGACTTCAGCCCCAGAAGAGCTGAAGGACGATTCAGCTATTTAGAATGAGTCAAATACTTCTTCAGGTTGCACAGGGGTTAGCCATAATTTGATGCCTACATGAGATATGCTGAGCAATGTCATGCTACCAGAAGTATGGTCAGAGTGAAACGAAGCATACAAGAACTCCAGGACATAATTGTGGACACTTCTTGCTGTATATCACTATGATGAATCAATCTTTTCACTTCAGGGTTACAGCTGATATCAAGCAAAGATTTATAACTGTTAATCCCTATTAAAGATGTTGGAAGGAAAGTTTTTTATGGTAGACTCCCTAGTTGAAGGGGACAGAAGGATGAGAGGGGAAGCTGTCCCTTTCTAGATGTTGCACACCTCCTGCTATTGTTAGACATTGATGCTGAAAAATAAGGAGGTGGAAAACAAGGAGGGGGAAGAACAGTCCTGTAGTTCATACCAGTCAGGAAGAAAACCTCATGTGAAATTTGAAAACCTTGAGTAGGAACTCTACTGAACAAAGACTTGAGAACTGACATCGTTACTGATTTGGGTTTGGGTTTGGGTCCCCCTTTCCCTTCCTTTTAATTCCTTTTTTTTTTTTTTTTTTTCATCACTCCCCCATCTATGCTAATTACTCTTACACAATTCCCAGTTCTCTGATAAATTACCTGTGTGAGTTTCAGACTATTTAGTAAGACTTCCTTCATAGTATCTGGTCTTTCTTTGCAATACCACTCAGTTAAGTATTCGGTTTCATTTTTCATCATGTATGTAGTTAATGGTAACATGATAAACCCCTGTGCAATTTTTCCTGAGTAAGATGATGTGATTTGTTTACATAATACACTGTATTTTCTATCTGCCTTATTATAGTAATATGTTTAATTTTAAATTAATATTAAATTATTCCAGTGGAAAGAAGCAAAACCAGAAGAGCTCATGGATTCGAAACTTAGGTGTGTGTTTGAGCTACCAGCGGAAAATGATAAGCCTGTGAGTATTTTCAGATGCATATTGAGTGTTCTAACTTAATACCACAGTAAATCATGTAAAATGACATGTTTATACAGACAGCTATATAAGCAAAAGACAGAACCCCATTTCACTGCCTGGATGGCATCACCCTTTGAAAACACAATATAAACTATTTAAAATCTTAGTAATGCTTAATGTAAGTAGCAGCTGATTTGAATAATGTAAGTGCAACACAAATACAAAGAAGTCTTTGAGCTGATCTGTTTTCATTTAGTGAAGGATCACAGGATAAAGATTATTTTTTAAAAATTTGAAAGATGCTGATGGATGGACATAAAGCTCAGAGTTTACACTGAAGCAGTTATAACTGTTACCAATAGAAATTTGCCTGTCCAGCAATCCCCTGTCCTTCCTTGCATTGTGGTTTAACCCCAGCTGGCAACTCAGCCCCACACAGCCGCTTGCTTACTCCCCCCTCGTGGGATGGGGGAGAGAATCAGAAGAGTAAAAGAGAAAGCTCATGGGCTGAGATAAAGACAGTTCAATAGGGAAAGGAAAAGCTGCGCACACAAGCAAAGCAAAGCAAGGAATTAATTCCCTGCTTCCCATGGGCGCAGGTGGGTGTTCAGCCATCTCCAGGAAAGCAGGGCTCCATCACTCTAGCAGTTGCATAGGAAGACAAACGCCATCACTCCGAACACCCCCCCCTTCCTTCTTCTTCCCCCAGCTTTATGTGCTGGGTATGACGTCATACGGTGTGGGATACCCCTGGGGTCAGTTGGGGTCAGCGGTCCCGGCCGTGTCCCCTCCCAGCTCCTTGTGCACCCCTTATTCCCTACCATTTACATCATGCTCAGGTCCCACACTATCCAGTACAGCCTCGTTAACCACGACACTCCTTCCCATCCTTGATATAATACGCAGATATCATTCCCTTAGTCTATGGACCACCCCTGTAAAATGTCCAGAAACGTCCACAAAATGTCCATGGAGTTCATGCAGTCCATGACTTTGGGCTCCATCTCCTATGGTGGTTGCTCAGGGCAGAAGAGGTGCTGTGTTGCATGGAGTTACTGGGCACCAAAGCCAGCTCAGGTCAGGTCACTGCTGCACTTGCGCTGCTTCTTGTAAGGCTTGTCCTCCACTGGTTTGGGTGGTTACTGCTATAGTAATTCCCATGACATGCAACTCAAACCCTGGGTTACAACAATTTAAAGGTATTTCCATCACAATCTCCACCTCTGGTCCCTTTGGACCAGACCATCAGGTTTAACGTTGCAGTGAACCCCACCCCTGCTCCAGCTTGCACTTACCCACAGACTGCTGTCTCTGCTCCAAGTGGAGCCTTATCTGTGCACCACAGTCTCTCCAGGGCTGTACCTGCTACAGCATAGGCTTATCCACAGCCACAGTCGCTTTGAGGTGCACCTGCTCCATTGTGGTGATTACAATGCTGATTTTTAGCAAGTAAATTGGTAGAAAAATAGTAAGGAAGACACAAATGCAGTTAGGGATTATATTGCAATTAGCAGCTATAATATTGTAGGATCCTTTTTTGTTAGGGTAATGAACACATTAATTTCTAATGGAAGTATGTAATGTCAAATGTGGAACTGATAATGGAGTGAATAAACAGAAAAATGTTTCCTAGTATGCAGGTACTGAAGGCACAATTGTTCCTCCACCTTGCACTGGACAGCTTGTAGTTATGATTTTGTATTGTTACAATATTGCTATTGTAGCCTCACTATGTCTGCTCTACCTGCCCCAGGCAGTGAACATTTGCTCTATAAGTAGGTGCTTTTGCTTTAGGCCAGGGTGCTTTCTGTGTTTCCAGTTTAGAGGTGTGATGAGAGGAAGGAAAAAATCCGAATTAAATGAAACTTAATAGCTATTCTGTTTAGTCGTAATTTTTTCTATAATCCCTAAAATTCATTAGAGAAAAACAAAGCATGAGTAGTGACAAGATCCTATTACTTTATTCATGTAAATAAAATCTTCATGTTAAGACTTTGGTGGCAGTTTGAGTGGGGAGAGAGTGGTTTGGGTTTTGTGAGAGCCAGACCCTTTGCATTCTAAAGTGCAGAACATGGAGAGGATGCAACGGCAGGAAAGAGATGAGGGTTTGGAGGTGTGCAGCTTGTTTCCTAGCTTGGGTTGCAAGTTCCTTCACCACCAGAGAAGCGCAGAAGGATGGAGAGGTGATGGCCAGCTGTGGGGAGTGAAGAGAGGGAACTGCAGCAGGGCAGGTGGGTAACACCCTGGTTACTGGAGTAGCTGCTTGTGTTGTGCTTGAGGAGGGAAGGGTGAGGAGGGCACTAATAGTCCATAAGCAGACTGTGAGCAAGTAAGTTCTCGTTCAGGCTGTGGGACATGGTCTAAGGATATTTCCTTTTCTATATATGCAGGGACTGAACAGTCGAGGTCATTCTGTCTGCACTTACTGCTGCTGATCTGGTGTTCTCTGTGAAACAGGAAGGGGAAGTAAAGGTTACAGAGAGAAAAATGTTGTCTATTTCTTTTGATACAGGCACGTTTCAGGTGTGCACAGACAATTTTACCTGATTCTCCTCCTAAATATCAGGTGTGTTGTGTGGTGTGGTGTTAATAACTAACCAAAAATCACTGTATCCTTTTTTAACAGCATGACATAGAAATAAATAAAATTGTATCCACAACTGCAACAAAGACAGATTCCTCTGTAATGTCTAAATCAATAAGTTCTTCTTTGGATGACACTGAAGTTAAGAAAGTAATGGAAGACTATAAGAGGCTTCAAGTAGAAGTTCAGAGGTTACGGGAGGAGAATAAACAGTTTAAGGTAAAGATACTTCTTTTTTTTTTCAGATTTATCCCTTTCCTGAAAAAGAAGCTTTCAACTTAAAGGTTTGGTTACCTGACCCTGGCACGATATTTTAATATTGTCTATAAATTAAAAGATAATTTAGGTTTCTTTCTGTAAACTGAGAAAAAAGTGTTGAAATAAATGCTTCCTTTGAAAGAGTATACAAGTCATGCAGTCAGAGAAACCAATTGGATAGCAACCCAAAGTAATGAATTCCATCTTTTTTTTTTCTTCTTTTGCTTTTCCCACCTAATTTTCTCAGTCTGAATTCAGCATCCAGTGTTGGATTTGGCCCTGTTCTCTCAAACTGATGGGAGCTTGAGGGCAGCGTTGTGCAAATACTGAGTGTTTTAGTAATTGCACCTATAATATGCAGTTGAAATGACCAAAGTAAGACAGATTAATAGGAAATATGCTTCCTGTCATATCCAGAACATCACTGTGAAATCAAGTAATTGAGAAGCCTTTATCACCATGCTAAAATACTCTCTTTACAGTAGTTTCCTTTGCTGTAAATGTCTAGTTTCATAGATAACGGCACCAATAAAAATTCAGAATTTGTGGCTGTTGGAGCCCAATGAAAGGAACTCTGTTCTGTCAGCTCTGATGCTGCTGGGCTGGCTGATGCACCAAGAAATTGTTTAAACACTTGTAAACTGGTTTTGTTTTGCACATAGAAATAATATATGTATACAGCTGAGACACAAGCTTAACTTTTCCTTGTGTTCTTGTTTTGCCAGTGTCTCACAATGCTATAAGTGCTATATGATTTTATTTTTTTGCAAATCAGTCTTGAATAAACACTCTGCAGGAGATATCTAGCATTGAGCTGATGTCTTACTGTGACAGAACGGTGAGCTGTTTGTTCCTTTGTGGAGTGTTAGAAACATCAGAAAACAAACTTAAATTATTGCTAGCCACCAGGTGCTGTCAGTGTCAAGCTGGAGTCACTGTCAAAAGGAAGTTGAAATATTTAAAATGAAAATGTGCTGTTTCTAGCAGTAAAATAAACAACACTTCGTTGTTTACAAAAGTCAGTTGTCCCTATCCAGACTTAAAGCAGTAGTGAGATATCAGGCAGTCTGTGACTTTTAATTAATAAATAATAATTTTAAAAAAAAAAGTTTTCCTCCAGTACATTAGGTGCTGCTTTAAAGTCAAAAGTGAGAAACACTGAGCCTTTTAAATGTCACTTATCTGACAGTCAATTTATAAGGCCGCGATAACTTTTATTACAATTTTATTTTTTTAGTATTTTTTTCTGTCTAGACGAGGCTTTTGCTTCAGTATCTTACACGTTTGCACTATAATGCTGTATTGCATGAAGTCTAACACCGTTGCTTCAGCTGTGTGCAAGTCAGGTCACAAAAGTCTCACTTTACCATCTCCCAAAGTGCCCTGTGTGTGGATGGAGTGTGCTAACACACAGCTGTGCCGCACGGTAGTTTAGACCAAGATGTGGGGAAGATAGTCTCCAGTGATTAGTGGTAATATCTGGCGTTATGATGTAGTTTTATTTGTTGTCTCATACATCTTTAAATCAAGAGAGCTGTCAAACTCATACCGAGAATATATCCTAATTATTGCCATTAGTTTCATGTCAAAATGTCAGCATTAATATGATGGAGGAAATAAATTTCCCTTCAAATGCTGGTAAAATTTGTTTGTGACATCTAACTAGGGGAATGATGAGTATAATTGCCTTAAAGTTGCATATTTTTCACAACCTGTCTTAGTTATATTGAAAAGCATTTTCCCTCACAGCACTATATTTGCTTCAGAACGAGAAAAGCATCTTCGTGCCATTCCCTCCATCATTGTTGTTGAAATTCTGGAGCTGTCTCCAGACCTCGGACAAGTGTTCTTGCAGGGTTCCTCATTGCTTGCCCTGTTACCTTAGAGGAGAAACTTCCAAGAGCATGTGTTTTTTGCTCTGCTAGTCAAGTAGATACAGAATTCCACTCTTACCTCACTACCCTTGCCGTCTCAGGATTATCTAGGAAATAGAGCTCTAAATTAGCTGTAAATTAGCTTTTGCCTATTTTATTATGCCCACCTAAAACAAACATGGTAAGGGTGAACATTTAAAGCTTTTTTGTTTTTTTTTTTCAGTAGAAGTAATCAATATATCTTCCTTTAGGAAGAAGATGGACTGCGGATGAGGAAGGCACCGCAGACGAACAACCCAATATCTGCTTCTGCAGCTGCTGTCAAGGACGAAGGGCTCAGCTCCAGACTACTTGCTTTGGTGGTTTTGTTCTTTGTCTTTGGTGTAATTATAGGAAAAATAGCCTTGTAGAGGCAGCATGCTGGAAAATGTAAATTGGTTTGATGGTTCTGCCATATCATTGGATTAAATTTATTCATAACAATGTTTAAAAAAAAAAAATTAATGTATGACATCTCACAGGTCTTGCCTTTAAATTACCCCTGCACAAATACTCTGTAACATAATCTAGAAAGTTTAAAATGTACAATGAGTGAATGAACGAAAGAGAATATGCTTCAGCCATGAAAGTGGGGAGAAAATCATGATTTAACACTACAACGGAATATTGTATATGTCATTTTAAACATTCTTAGACCCTGGTACATGTTGCTGGATTACCTCTTTTTAAAAAAAAAAAAAGAAAAAAAAAAGGAAAAATAGAAAAAACTGTCCCTCCACTGCTGGAGCTGGCCCTATTGGATGTTTGGAGCTGGGTTAGGCAGGAGGTGTTGATAACTTCTGTAAAATACGTTAATCCACCATTCTGCTCATAAATTTAACAGTTTCTGTCAGTGTCTTCAACTCTGTGCAAGTTACCAATTTCTTGGCACTTAAATGAATAGTGAGAAGCTGAAAAGAATTGTATGTGGCAATGCTGAATGTGCTAGGCATCATTAAGAGGCATATATTGACTGGTATGACGCTCATTTGGAATAAAGGTCAATGCCTTGTTCTCATAAAGGGACCAAGCTACATTGCTGTTGGTTCATTTAGTTGAATTAAAATGTTATTCAGAGATGTTTAATGCATATTTAACTTATTTAATGTATTTCATCTCATGTTTCCTTATTGTCACAAAATTGACTAATACTATATGGTATGAAAAGGCACCTGTTTAAAGCCAGTGACTAGAACTAAAAATTTGCTGCTGTAGTGATGCGAGATTCTTCTGCCTCCTGGTGTTTTGGGCACTACACAATTGTTGGGAGTTTTGATCATCTGAGCATTGGAGAAACAGTGGTCAGGAAACTGTTTTTGTATGTAAATAAGTCTATCTAGGGGAAAAAATATTAGTAGTAAACTAGTCCTATGCCGTAAAAGACCAATCCTGTTTGACTATGTAGCATCTTAAAGAAAAAAAAAAAAAAAAAAGAAAAGAAAAATTAAATAAAGCCCCCAAATTAATGTTTCCTTTGTTACTTTTGTCATGTTATCACAGTTTTAGGGGGAGGGGGGGTGGAAACAGTATTCTCCATCAACTTAGTTTGTGTACGGCATAAGAAAACTTGCAGCCTTGTTTCAGGATGAATTTTTTTTTTTTCCAGCCTAATTTTAAAATCAATCCAAACAGCCCCATCATGAGCCTGATATACATAAGTGTTGTTCAGAGTAACCGTGCTGACTGCTGAGGTGCAAGGTAACTTCCCATTTTTCAGTTTAGTTGGGTACAGTAAAGATGCTTGATAGCATGTTGAAAGTAAGGTTTTGTTTCTAAGCATACTTTTAGTACAAAATACAGAAACTCAATGTGTTTTAACATGTTGAACTTCAATAGATGAAGTAGGTTTTGAGCAGGTAAATTCCCATATATCCTTAGATGGTAGATCCAAAAACCATTGGTGACAGAAGTTCTTGTAACACCTTTCAGGATTCAGAATAAGTCTTTTAAAAGTGACTTCTTCCATTCCTTTATTATGCCTATGATTTCTTGAGAAAGGTGTTTGGGCTGCAGCCTGTCTACTACTCTTGTTGACCTTTATATTTGTTCCACTTGTGTCTCAAGGGTTTCCTGCTTTGCAAGTGCAAATAAGTGAAATTTTCTGTAAGGTTTAATAAGAAAATAGGGGGAGAAAATCTTAACTGGTGTGTTCAGCTTACGAACACAACTCTGGGAGTACTTCTAGAAGATTAAACAGAAATGAGAGGTGTATCTTTAGCATTTTAAATTGCTAGTGCCTTGTATGCTCAGGATAGGAGTGACAAAGCTATTAAAGTCTGCCTGTAAAGGGCAGAGGAGATGGGAGATGAGCTGGAAAGAACGAAGCAGTGAGTTCAGTGTGACAAATTGGGTAGAACTGATCAAGAAGAAGATACTTTCCAGGGAGAAGCAGCTAATGAAAACTTCTACATGAAACATTTTAAAAGAACCTTTCCAGAAAGACAAGGTTCCAAGTGATGTTGCAAAATTAGTTTTCATGGCTTTGAAGAATATATTTGAGAAAACCCTTACTGAAGGGAGACTGAGCTATGCAGTATTTTTTAAGAGGCTGTAGATATCTTGATCTCACTAAAATAAAAATGTGTAATCAGAAGAGCTGAATTCCTAACTTGCTTTAAAAAAAAAAAAGTTACTAACTTGTTTTGAGAGCCTTTTTTTCTGCTGAAAAACAGCCTCAAAAAAGTTTGGTTTAAAAAAAGAAAAAAGGCTGTCTTTGCAGGGTAAAGGGGGAGCATCAAAGCTTTAAACTGGTCTCTTATGAGTATATCTGTAGTAATGTTCTAGGCAGATTTTTACACACGCTGTTAGCTACCGCAGTTGACTTTGCTGGCACAGGCAGCTCCCAGATGAAGGGGAAAGCCAGCAGAATGTCTGCCCTCTTTCCAGTGGTCAGTAGTCACTGCTCAGTGATCTGTGACAACTTGGAACTTTAAATCATTTGTGAGCAAAGTTGTTCTTGCTGTTTGCACTCCAGGATTACAAAGAGGTCCCAGAAAACACTCTCGTGCTTTGCTGGATGCCTTACAACCGCATGATCAAGGAGACCAACAAACAGAGGACCTTAGTTAAGGTTCTGTTGGTCCCAATCATAGCCTGCAGTTGGGGCTGACCCACGATGCCTTACAACCGCATGATCAAGGAGACCAACAGAGGACCTTAGTTAAGGATCTGTTGGTCCCAACCATAGCCTGCAGTTGGGGCTGACCCACACCATCAGTCCTAAACAAGACTGTTAATTTAACTGCTTTTATTTTGGAATTTAACCAAATTCTGAGGTCTTTCCTAACCATTTCTGACAACAGCCTGAATAGACAGTAGCACCAAATTGTCTGGCTAATGCTTTGCTTTTGCTGAGCTTAAAATAAAATGACCGATCAGTGGAATCCTTACTACCTGTCTGTTTGACCAGACCCTTCTTTCATATGCCGTAGAAAGAAACCTAAGGATGTTTTTTTCTCCCAAGGTTCCTAAAAGGCCAGTCTGTAGATACATTGCAAAAATATATTGGATGGGTGTTCTTAAGCCACCTGGATCTTTCGGAAGTTGTTCCTTACATGGTGACACCAGAGCAAATGTTTTCATGAAGTATTCATAGAAAGTGACTTATTCTAGAGGGCATTGTATATTTTAGGAAGTTATGCATGAAACATAGAGTTTCTAAATAAGATTATTGTCTGGTGTCCTCACACACCACCAGATATTAGAAAACTGTAACTGATACATGATCGTAGAAATCAAGTTATTACTTAATCTAATTATTGTCCTTACTGTTATTTTAGGATGCCCACTTGCATATACATTTATTGTTAATTTTTGTGAGAGCCAGTAGAGGCTGCTTGGGTAGTTCTTCATTTTGTGGAGCTTTACACTCCTGTCTGCACTCTTCGGGCAAATTTGGTACAAATAGGTATCTAAAATGTCTTGAAGCCTAGTACTGGGAAATGAATGGAAAATGGTTTCTACTATTTTCATGTAGTTATCCACACCTTAAAGTAAATATTCCATGCATGAATGATCATAACTATTGCTCCGCGTTGGCAGTTGTCAGCTGTGAATGCACAAGTGGAACAATTGCATATGCCAGCTAGGCACCCGGTTTCAAGTTCCTGTTGAATAGCCTTAAGGGTTGAAGAGCAGGATAATGCCATGTGTGTCCTGTGGAGAGGGATTGATGTACCATAATGTAATTTTCTAAAAATACGGGATTGTAATAGCTTGATGGTGGTATTCCATGTTACTTTTTTGTCCTGAAATGCTGTTAGTGGGATAAAGTTGGAACCTCACTTTGCAAATCGCTAGAGTTTCTTCTCACCAATAAACTATAAAGGGTTTCTATTCGCTGCACATGTCAACTTGCAATTCTTATTATAATCTTGACTTAGCAGATAGCAGATTTACATAGTGGTGTGCACACAAAAATGGATTGTTAATGTCTTAAGATACTTGATGTTGCAATTGCCTAATGAAAGAAAACTGTGTCATCCCTTTTCTTTGGAAAACGTGTATGACGCTTTCATCTCTTCATCGGAACGCTTCCTTAATTCTCGGGCACAACAGTGACTTAACTGTAGTATTCTCAGTTTTTGAAACCATACTTCTCTTGCTCTACGTGATGTCCTGAAATGCCATATCCTGAGTTCTGTTTTCTATATAAAGTAACTCAGAAAAAAACACAATCAAAGTTCCCTCTGTTTGAAATTAAAGAACATGTGAAACAAGCACTCTGAACTTGATGTTTGTCGTGGCTGGGTTACAGCTGCAATAGAACTTCACAGCAGCGCTGGAGCAGCCTGGGGTCCAAGAGACGCTTTTTCATTGTTTGAAAATGGGTTAATATCCATTACTCACATCCTCTAGTGAGCAAGTTGAGAAGGGACAGGTGGTGAGTGAATTTCAGTGTGCATATTTGAGATTTTTTTTTTTTTTTTTTTTTTGAGTCAAACACTAATACAAAAAGAAGAAAGAAATCTGTACAGGGGTGAGACTGGTTCAGTACCGTATGCGGTACTACAAATTTAATTTACTAATTAGAAAATACTTGTATAAACCGATGTTCAGGCATTTTAGAAAGAAAAGCAACTACTGAGGAAAGCTGCTTGTTCATATAGTGAAACCTAGCAGTTCTCTAGATACCCTTCATTAAAAGATGACAATGGGGTACAATGCCAGTATAAATCATCTGTTACAGTTAGATAAATAGTGGGATTTATTGTTCAAGCAGGGCAATGCTGATCCTTTGACCATGTCCAATTAAGATTTCTTTGCATTATGCCGACAGCTTCGCGTGTACCGAATCACTTTGTCTAACGGGTGTCAGTGCAAAAGTGACATTGCTCATTGTGTTGGTGTTATGTTGATTAGCTTCCGAGGACAAAGTAATTGTGTGTTTCCACGACTCGGATCTGCTTAAATATAAATTTTGTTTGTTTTATTAATGGATTGATTTTTTTTTTTTTACTGGATAAATGTAGATTGTTTTTTAAAATAACACAGGAGCCAGCCAGAAATCTCTTACATCTAATACTCTAGTAAGCATGCACTTGCATACTTCTAAAATGACTGTATACCTGTCATTTACTCCACCGTTTCCTGTGGCTTCATTTCCTTTTACAGAACTGCTTTCACATTTATACTTTGAAGAGCAGAACTTTTACTAAACTTCCACATAGACCTTTTTGCCTCCCAGTCCAGGCCTTAGTTTGTCCTGAAGCTCCTGCGTGAGTGAAAACTACAAAAAGGAACGGGGAGTCTACGAGTGCAGAAACAAGGCTGCTTTTCCTTGAAGCAAACTTGAACTTTGGATCTTTCCTCCTATGGTCTGTCATTAGAAAATGGCCTTTTCCAGATGGCAAAACAAAAGAAGTTAAGAAAACAAATGAATTAAGAAGAATTAATTGAAGCCGCATATTACAAGTTGACATTATACATCTGGCATTTCTGTTTATGTTTCTGCATCAGTACATTTCATTCCTATTTAATAAGTTCCTAATTTTGTGGGGTTCTTTTTTTCAAGATTTCGAAGTGCATATGAAGGACAGCCTGTAGTAAAGTATTGTTCCCAGTTTAGCTGTACTTCATTTTTTTAATCAAATCTTTTTCTTCAGTGGATAAACTCACAAGATTAGAAAAGCCTCTTGAACTCCCTCATGTTTGAGTTGGCAGAATTCCCACACACAATTATCCACACACAACTACTTTTAAAAGACCTTTATTAAGGCCGTACAAAGTCAAGCACTCAGAAGTTAGGAAATGGCAAAACCAAGTTTCTGCACGGTTAGTTTGGCCAATTTTTGTGAGTATGTTGCAGTATCTGATCAAGCCTTCGGTAAAAGTGAGCTAAGGCTGCCCAGGTGGCATCTAAAACTGCCCAAATTTGTGTGCCTGACCACATATAATCTTAAATTCTCTTAAGATACATATAATTCAGTTTTTAAAAGTTGAACTTAAAAAATGCCATCATGGTATTGCTTGTAACCCGTGTGTGTGTCAGGATTTAATCCTTTACATTGTGCGTATGGACACCCGTTCCTGACCTAAGCACCTATGCAGCGGTGGAGCAGAGCTGAAGCAGCAGGTTTCGTTTTCCTATTTCATGGGCAGGCCACACGCAAGCGCGATTGGAGCCACGAATTTTTGCTTTAGTTCTGAGCCCAAAAGAGTGTTTCCATGAAGGCTGCAGACTCTCCAGCCCAATTTCTTTCCTGATCAGTTCTGCCTGAGCTGTCAAATCCCACTCCATTCCCTCCCTCAGCCCTTTGGTTCAATCAAGAGCCATCCTTGTTCCTTCACTGCTCCTCAGCAAAGGCACCGATGTTCAGCCCAGCCCAACCTTTAAACAAGTTTTCTTCTCTGCTGCCTATTTATTTTCCATCTCAGTCTCTTTCTTCCCATTGCCCTTCCAGTCTTGCTCTTCCCTGACTTTGGGCCACAGGAGCGCTTCGTAGCAGAGCGCGCCCTTGACGTGCCTAACCCTGGACCTGGCTGCCTTTTCCCATCCCAGGGAACCACTCGCCTTTCTGCTCCCTTTTTGATGAAATTTGTTCCTTCTTCCTCTTCACTCTGTGTAACGTTCGGAGCAATGGAGCTTGTCAACCATCTCCTTTCTGTCTCCAGCTTTTTTTCTGCTGTTTCAATGCAGCATATTTATCGGAAATAGCACGCTTTTATGTTCAGTGTGGATTGTTTATCAAATGAAGCACTAGGTCAATGCTGTTAATATCTCCAGAAGTGTTGTAAAACTCCCTTGTGTGTTTGTTTCAGGTCAAGAATTGTTTGGGCAATCTAGAACGCCAAATACATTCTAAGGTACTATAAACAGGGGGGCATGAAGGTGGCTAATTGGAAAGAGAAGTCACTGTTAATTGAGCTGTGAAGAGGCAGTGGCAGTCAGACTCATGACTACGTCCAGCAAACTCAGCTCATGCTTTAAATTTTTGCGCCTGCTAGAGAAGCAGAAAATTGCAAAGGCAACTTGTTTAAGTAGCTTATGATACTAAAGAAAGTACGAAAGACTGTCGTGCTCAGACAGTGCGCGAAGCTAGTAAATGTATTCAGAGTGTTTGAGAAGTATTTTATTTTTCTCTGCTTTTTGGAGTGGTTAAAAAAATGATTACACTTTTGAAAAGTATTATATAAGAAGTGAACAGGAAGAGTTTTCCAAGACACATGTGCCTCTTATCATTGACTTCCAGCTGGTACTAACCTGCCAGTGCATCTGTTAGCCTGGCTTCTCTTCACAGGGACAATAAAAAGGTATATATTCATTTTCAGTTGAAAGGAATCCAGTAGTAAGGGCTAACGTTTGTTGTCTACGTCCTAGACCTGTTTTTCTAATGCAGTGTTAGACATGAAACATGAAGTTACTCCGTTTTGTCTTGTGTCAGATAAAGATAAATGACTCGCAGGACTAGAAGTTGGTGGTTACTGTGGAAGCCTGATTACATTCAAGCTAGGCGTACAGCCATGCAAACCTCTAATAAATGTAATTGGTGCTTCAGAAGGGCATAGCTGAGCGAATTTCATATCAAATCTGGTAGTGAAGAAGAAATTAGATGGGAAACTGAATTAGAATTGGCAGTTTTCTAAGTGAAAGCTATTAAATGGCCAAAACCCCAACAATTTTGCAGTCGAGAAGGGGGACGACTTTGGCTAACCGCCCATCCTGTTTCAGTGATGAAATGAAGGGAAAAATTAGATGTAAAGTAATATAAAACAAATAAGAAAAGGGGAAGCAGACAGCAATCAACTCAAAATGAGAGTTATGAAGTGTAGAAAATTAATAAGGAAAGCAATAGCCAAAGGAAAATAAAAATGTATGGGTTGGAGTGCTTGGAGAGGGTGATAAAGAGCTGAAGTTCAGAGGAAATCTTTGCGGTAGGATAAGGACCATTACAAGACGCAGGTGGTAGAACTGCTAGTGGTGATGTAAGAGAACTGGAAAGGTGATGTCATTCATTAGCAATGCCTAATATTAAAAATTAACATTTTATAATTCAGTAGGCCCTGTATCAGTGTTTCTAAGGGAGATGCCTTGGGCCGTCCGCCCTGCCGGCCAGAGGGGTGGCAAAAGGACGGGGGGGGGCGGGTGAAGTGCTTAACTAGCTTGACACTGCCAGGGAAGGGATGGAAAAGGAGGTGAATGTTACTGAGGGAGCACGATGTAAAGTCGTTTCATTCTGTCTTTGGTTTTCAGTTTTCTGTGGGATTAGAGTGAACCAAGTGTATCTGGGCCCCTGCAAAGCTCGGTGTTGCCTGACAATTGCCCCTTCTGGAAGGTCCTTCAGAGAGAACCGTAGTGAAATGGGAAGGGTTCTGCTGGGACCCGATCCGAGTCAGTGGTTCCAGATCACTGGTGAAAATAGATGTAAAATTGGTACTGATAAAATGTTACCAGGACAAAAATATCCACACCCAGGACCAGAGTGAACAAGAGCTCCACGTGTTCCCAGTGCAGTCCCAGGGTGAAAGACTAATGAATAAGAATGTGTTCTTGTTTTTAATTACCGTTAGCAGTAAGTGATTATACTTCTGTATGTCTCAGCTGTGAGAGTTGGGAATTTCGGATGCAATTTGGATATTTACATTTTAAAAGAGAAGCTGAGTAATTGGAATGGATGCAAAAAAAAGATTCAAAAATTACCGGTGGAGCGTGAAAATGCCTTAGAGGGGGCAAGAGGGAAACTCAGTTGGCTGAGTTTATCTACCAAAATTGAGAATGTCTTGATTACAGTGCACAAGTACCTTCACGGATAGAAAATACTGAACACTGCAGCTCTCTGATCTTAAAAAGAGCAACACAACAAGAATCACTGGCAATCGAAGCCAGGCAAATTCAAATTGGAAAAAGGCACAAATTCTTAAGAGAGAATAACTGTGTAATTTAGGAATGTTTCTCCAAAAACTGTGAACAGAACAATAAAAGTTATGATATTTATGCAAATAGCTTTTTCATGGCTTTTTTTTTTCTTTCAGAAGTATACTTAAAGGGGGGGGAAACAGGACCAAGAGGCTCCTGATGAGGCTTTCATAGGGAAGTTCAGTCAGCATAGCCTGTCCGTCGTGCAGTTGTGGAGCTGTGTCGGAGCATCCAGTGCTGCTGGAGCCCAGTGGTGGTTCACCTGCGGTGGGAGGAGCTGGGAACTTTCTCAAGTGTTGTTGTGTACGTTGTGTAAGTACGCGGTGTTGTCTTGTAACCTTTTACATCGTGTTAATCCCATCACCACCCTGAAAGGATCTGTGGTCTCGGAGGATTTTTTACACCATGCGGTATCCAAACACTTGCTAAGTTTAATACATTTCCTTACTATGTAAATGGGGAGCAAAAAAAAAGGTGTCTGCACACAGATCTCATTCTTGGGGGTAAATGGAGGGCAGGAATTGCTTCCCCCTCTGCCCACCCTCCAACGACAGCACAAGGCTGTTCCCTGTTCTTGCCATGGACATCTCTGGGTCCTGCAGAAACGTGTGGTGTTGCTGGTGGGAGTCACAGGAGCCTTTCCTCCAGGCTGCGGTGAGTGACCGCTCTGGCACGGTGATGGGAAACAGGTCTGCTGCAGAAAAAGTTCTGCTGTGTGTCTGGTTTACATGAGAAGCAGCTGCGCTGCCCTAGAAGTGGCCCCGATGCGTAGCATCGCAACGGGGACATCCCAGAGGAGATGCCACATTCTCCAAGATGCAGTTCCAGTTCTTCAAACGTTTGCCCGTGGATCTCCAC